TGTAGATATTTATTATTTTAGAGTCATCGAGATCAAAAATTAACTCAACGTTCCTCGTTGCCGTCTTCGAATGCAAACAAGTCAGTGAAGCGTGCACTGCCAAAGTAAATTCTTTTTAAATTCTCTGTCAAAGTAAATTTCTTAAATTTTTCATCTACGATATAATGATACGGTTGGATTGTGAATGGAACGTGAGTAATTCTTATTTCATGTTTATGGATCTATTGCATTTAGTGGCTTATCGTGACAACTAGAAATTAATGTAACATGAATGAAAATAGTTAGAATAAATTCTGTTGATGAATTGGGCGAGCTGAATGACTTCAGACTTCCTGGATTGGATGGAGATCCGTCGATTGAAACATACACGAGTATAGAACGCCGTCATACTTCTCCGTTATCTCACGCTACATCAAAACCAAATCATTCCAATTCAACACATCCATTCAACGAAGATGGTATCAATCCAACGTATGAATCAATCGATGCCGAATCTGACTCAGTTTCTGATCCTGTGTATTCGAAGGTTATTTTTTGCTTTGNCGAAAATATGACTATCCGGTATTTCACGGACCGCGCAGCCATGCAGCTGCAGTGAACGTACCGGAAGCAGTCTATCAGAGTGCATCACAGATCTATACTGTTGGGAGTGAAGATCCTTATAGGTATGAAACATCATTTCGTTATAAGTAGTTTGCTGCTGTCAGACATTTTACCAATTGCCGTGCTGTTTCGCTGTGGACAGTTTGAACATCTTGATCATGTTATTTTGTAATCAGTGTTGTTTTTAAAAAAATAATCTCAATTTATTATCTGCACGGAAGCTTCTTTGAATTAAAGAACGAATATTATGATAAATTTGTTTTCTTGTTTCATCTCTAAATTTTCATAGATTTCCAGTCTAATAATATAGTTACATGAACATTTTTTAGCTCAATAACAAGTGGGGGCGGTGCAGAGACGAATTATCCCAGTTACGCGCATGTGAAAGATAGTATTGCCAATCCAAGATCCTCGAAAGCCGTCGATAATTCTGATTCAAAACCTTCAACGAGTGAAAATATTGATGATTTATACACGAAGGTATAGTAAAACTTGATTAGTTTTTTATTTTACAACAATTTGATTCCATTAAATACGTATTTATTGAATTTCTCCGATGTGCTCTGAAATGCAACAGCAACAAATCCGTAAATGAATAGAGCACAAATTGTTATCAGATTCAACGTCCGTCACCATCCTGCACACTATCGACAAAAGGGCATGTTCCGAGAGAAGGTGGTGAGCAATTCATACCGTTGCCGAGTACATCGTATCAACAGTCAGATGCTAATCAAGGATACGTATCGTGTGGAAGTGAAAAGGTTCATTCTGCAGTGTACTATCCGAATTTTTTGGTGCATTTTTTCAAATCGGACTTATAAATGCCTTCGTTATTCGAATATTTCTGCATAAGGATGATTTTCGAACTGAATTAGTATATATTCTGATTAAACTGTTCGCTTGTATTGGTAATGTTGAATCACTTTCACTAAAATAAAATTCAGTACATGGTTAACATTCTAAGAAATTCGCGTTGTTTCGAGGTGATCGTTATCGTACTCTGCAAACCACTGACATCGAGCTGAAACACTGATACACAACTTTGGCTAAGTCCTCGATTGAGCCTTGAGCTTGAGTTTGAATTTGAGAGCTGGCCAATAATTTTCTCATTAAAGTGAAGTGAACTTGACAGGCAAGTCGTGAACCGTCGTATCGTTACATAACTGTTCGTGAGAGTGTCGATGTGATCCGACGACGTCTAAACGAAAGAGAAATGTTCAGTGGTGCTCATACCCCTCCAGCTTCAATCAGTCGGAATATGAGTAATACTTCAGAATCAATTGACGGAACTCTACCGATTCGTGAACATTATTATTCATCGATTGGTGGTGGAAGTGATTACGAATCGGTGCGTTTTTCTTTTGAATATTGACGACTTTGTTTCTGATGTGACGGAACTCTACCGATTCGTGAACATTATTATTCATCGATTGGTGGTGGAAGTGATTACGAATCGGTGCGTTTTTCTTTTGAATATTGACGACTTTGTTTCTGATGTTGATTCGAATATTCATCTGAATCGTTCGCATTATCTGATTGTTTAAAAAAAAAACTGATTAATGAACTCATCAGAACGATTCGAAGTTTGTCAATGTCATTATGTGGAAGATTTGTTTCGCTGTTTTGTGAAATACGGACCGTATCAAATCCTAATGAAATCATTTCCGCTCGTTAAAACTGATTTTATCTTTTCAGGTATCAGTCGCAGCTCTATATGAACACATTCCGGATTTGTCGACTGGAAACAGTGAGTTGATTATAGTCATTTTGATTACGTTCGAATTATCTGACTAGAAGTATGCATTGCTCGTTGAGAATTTAATGTTTTCGATAACAATTCGGAAGTTCATTTTCAACACTTTCAGTGGTCAATGAACAAACGAGTGGTTCATCGAGAGAAGTGAACAGTTCGCTCGGTAAGAAATTGTATCAATTTTATTCGATATTGAAACCTCCGATTTGATTGGCATTCAGTATAAAGTTAGTGAAAGGACTGGTAATAATGCGACAGTGGCAATGAAATAGCATCATTACCAAACTCGATCCTAACATGGTCATTTCCGTTTTCGAGCATCTCAATTCACTTATTATTTCTATCCTTTTATTGGTTGTTTGTCTACGGTTTGTAGAATCGATTGAAATTATCATTACAACTGGTGCATAAAGGAACCTTTCTTTAATGCAGTTCATCATATCAAATCCTTCGGTGTTTTTCTCAGCAGTTCTTGAACGTGAATTTAGATTTTCTGCAAATGTTTTCAGATGTTCTGAAAAAGAGTGATGATGGAACACAAGCATCCACATCTTCGTCAGTGCGTTTCCGATCGACGTCCCGAAATCGTGGTGATACAAGTGAAAAAATTTCGGATAATTCAAGTCCAAGCGTGCCTCCAAAACCTCCGACTTCCCCAATACCTAACCGCATCAGCAGTGACGCAATCGATGTGAAATGTTTCCGATATTCAGACGATCCAAAAGTGATTCCTTTCATCGAGAGCAGTCCGCCGTATGCATCAATACAATACGACAGTCATAATAAAACTGATTTGAAAGCAAACAAATCATCGCCATCAAATAACACTTCAACGAATTCCACTACAAACGTTCTTCAACCAAAAAGTCATTTATGTTCATCCCCTCCAAATAATAGTGCTGATGTTGACAAGAGCAACAGTAATAAAACAGCCAGCAAAAGCGATCAAAGTTTTAAGTCATCAGTTATAAACACGGACGCAACTGCATCTAACAAATTATCGAACGGTAATATACCGGGAACTGGTAATCGCGATGAAGAAAAAACAAATCGGGAAACGAGTCATTCCATCAAGCAGTACGGTAACCCGCAACTGACAGCCACGACTCTGAGTGGACATCCACCGAATTCGAACCGTACCATCATTTCAGCATCAGATACTGATCATGAAATAAATCCGTCAAGAGTGACACGTTTTCTTTCACCTACAGTTAGCAGTCAAAGTTCCGCTGCTCAGCGGAATTCCCTTCCAGAGTATCGTCATTCCCAAATATCGCCTCACCACATCACAAACAGTTGTACATCTGTACTGCCGTCTGCCCCATATAGAACTTCAAAGAGGAGTCCGATGGATGCTCAATCACATGAATTCAATTCGGTATTTCATTTGTTTTTATCTTTCTTTCATAGTGTTTCAACTGTGTACTGACGCTCGATGATGGTGTCGATAGTGATGACAGTCATTTCAATGTGATAATAACGATCAGAATTCTAGGCATTCGATGGTGTCAGATTATCGAAATCAATGAACACAATCGAACGAACTGTGCCCACTGAACTGAAACCATCCCAGATCGAAACCGTTTCGCCCGATCTCATTCGGAACATTACACGAAATGTTATCTTTTTCTCGAATATTCTGATTTTGTTTTTAATAAGTTTATTGGCAAATCGTTCCTCCACTTACATCAGCTGCGAACTGTGGTTTATATTCAAATGACCATATATCTAAACTATTTTTAGAAATCGTATCGATCTGAGATTGAAGCTTATGTCGTGAAGCCGTCATTGAGTAGCTCGACACCTTTGATTAATTCGAGAGGAGTTCATTCAAGTCAATTATCTTATTATAAGAAATATTGTTTAACCGCTACCTATCCCGAGATGTCGAGCAACTGAACATTGCTTTAAAGTCTCCCAAGTTTTGACCGTTAAAGAAAAAGTGTTCGTTAGAGGATGGGAATAAAAATTCCCCGTAATTACCAATCGCATTTTCGAATGATTCATAGAAAACCAATAATTTTAATTGCTTTCAGATCCATATAAAACTGAACGTAATGATGTCATGAATCGATCCGTTCATTCAACAGGTCGACTTTTCAAGGCTCAATTGATTTTCTCAGCATTTTATCTTTCACAAACTATAAGTACTTAAAATC